CTCGAGAAAATCGTCTATCATCGGATGATCGGTTCGGATCGCGGTTTCGTGCGGCGGCGACAGCGCGAAGATCTGTCGGCTCTTAGAAAGCGCGAGCGTTACAATTTCGCAAACGGTCTGTCATTACCGGCCTAGTTGGCATCGCAAGAAATTCAATTTCCACGGGCGGAGGACCGTCACGGCGACGAGAGGGCACTGCCACGGCTGATTACACACCGAGGAATGACCAAGGCATCACTTTACTTATCAAGCTACGACGGTCCGGGGAGAGGGAGGGGGGCCGAACAACCCCGTAAATAACGTGTCGGAATTTAAAAATCGATTAACTCTCGCCTCCTCTCGCCGGCACGTAATGACACCGGGAAGACGCGCCCTCTCCCTTCTCTTTTTATTTTCCATTTTTCCTTTTCCCCTCTTTTCATTTTCGCCCCGGCGATCGCCTCCCACCGATTTCCATCGGCGCAGAAACCGAAGAACATCATCTCCTCCGCGCGCGCGCGCGTTCTCGAAAAAGAAAAGCCGACTTACTTCGGCGGCGGCACGAAAGCGGCCGCCGAGTAGCAATCTGCGCTCTCGAAACACACTTTCGCTCCGGTTTTTCGTTTTTCTGCCGCGCGAACGTAATCGTTCTTGTCCAAGGTCGATCGAAGGCGAAGGTGCCCGCGATTCCCGACGCGGCCCCGCGGTTCGCGGGACGGAGTTATGCTCGGATCGGTCGGCATCGCGGTTGTACGATGCGTTTTTTTACGTCGGCGCGGAACGATATAATCGCGCGGCGGTTGTTGTTCATCGATTTGCCTCATCGACCGGAATGCTTTTGTCCCGGGTGCCTATGGTCGATCGTCGACTCGGCCGGCAAGGGGGTGTGAGGGGGGGTGAGGAGGATATTATTGTTTATTTGCCGGTAGAGACGCGGCCGACGTTGAGTAATCGACCGACCGACGGCGCTAAATTAATTTAGACATTCCTCTGCCGGAAGTTATTAATCGCGGCGACGGCTCGTTCCGAAGAACGGCCGCGACCGCGGCCGCGGTTGCGTCGGGAACCGATTCTTACCGAGGAAAGTTTCAGCTTTCATAACGCATTGCATAGATCGTTTAGAAAGCTTTCACGATTTTTCCAGGTAGCAGCGCGCTACGTGCGAACCGCGCGTGCACACTTTCCTCGCGTCGATTCCTCGCAAAACGCCACCAGGCTTCCGCGATGCGAGCGCGCCCGCCCGCTTCTTGAATGTCTTCGGGCCACCGATTCCGACGCGGATTACACGCAGCCGGCGCGGTTCCCTCGGCGCGCCGAAACCATTCCCATGAAAAACGGGGGAACGCGAACAAAATGGCGGAAAGAACGGAAAGAACGCGCGCGGTGTCGCGCGGTTCCGCCGCGATCCTAGAGAAATCCGAACGAACCGATCCGAAACGAATCGGCTTCGGTCGGTCGCGATCGAGCGGACACGTCGGCGAACGAGCCGAGAGGAACGGTTATATTAACCCTTTGCACTCGAAGCCGTTTTATTTATATATAATTATTATATATAATTTATTATGTTATATTAATAATATTATTATATATAATATATAATATAATAATATAATAATAATATTATAATATTATATATAATAATAATATTAATAATATTTTAATAATAATAATATTATATATAATTTATTATACATAATAATTATATTATATTATATTATATATATAATTATTATATATAATTTAAAATAATTTTTCTGACTCATAGTATTGACATTTTACGTGGGAAAGTGCATTTTATGCGTATGAAATTTGACACGGTTACGCTTTTAACGATTTTTTAACCAGTTAGCTGTGCTCGACGAGTATACTCGTCACGGAGAAGCGGCACTACAGTATTGTCTCCCTAACTGACGCTCAGATTGTGCACAAAAATGGACAATTTGGGAAGAGATACGATTCTGATAAAATTGTCAATTTTATAAAATAAAACCGTCCGTTTAATCCAATATTTTAACAGCGACGCTTACTCCGTGCTCGACGAGTATACTCGTCGTCGCTTTATTCTCGCGACGCATACAGGGTATCCCAAACATGTCTCGCAAACCGGAAATGAGTAGTTCCTGGGATCATTTGAAGTAACCTTTTCCTTAGCGAAAATGCAATCCGTAGCTTCGTTTACGAATTATTAACGAAAAACACTGACCAATGAGAGGCGAGCGCGCCTAACGCTTGGCAGCCGAGCCAATGAGCGCACGAAACCCTGTTCCGCTCATTGGCTCGGCCGTCTTGCGCCAGCATATCTCACCTCTCCATTGGTCACTCTTTTTCGTTAATAACTCGTAAACAAAGCCGTGGATTGCATTTTCGCCAAGGACAAGCTTACTTCAAATTACCTCAAGAACCTCCCGTTCTCGGATTGCGAGACATTTTTGGGACACCTTGTATAGAGTACGCGCTCTGAAAAGATGGCGCCACAGCTAACCGGTTAAATCTGAACTTTGTTAGTATAAAAATGATCTTCGAACATGATATAACAATTTCGGTGGTGCCTCAGAGCCACGGCTCGTGTGCAAAGGGTTAACGAATTAATGCGAAGTCGGGGGGGTTTATTTACGGGTCGGAGGATGCGAGCGGTCTCGACACCGAAGTCGACGCGAGACGCTTCGACCACCTTGCTTTTAATCCTTAAACATCCCAGGTGCACACACGCGACGCGTTTTACGTTCAAGGTTCCTGGCGCGCTCGCGCGCGCGCACGCGTGCACCCTGCACTTTTTCGCGTTATTCTATACCCGGGGATAGTTTGCATACGGCCTAAGCCGCTTTTTGATAAGCCGGCCCCGCCTCGTCTCGTTGATACGTTAAACACTGTAATACCGAACAAACAGTCAAGGACAATACTGTTTGCGCACAGTTCGCTGCATCGAGAAGATCGATTAAGCTCGCAGAAAGAGGACACGCTGGATAGCGGGATCTGTTCGACGAACAAACACGCTCGGCGAACGAACGTCTCGCGATCGACAAGAAAAAGGAACGCTCGTCGTATCCTTTACGCAAATTTTTTCGAGCAGATGTTATTTTCTTGCAGATGTCATTTCGTAATCATTTATTAGCATATTCGATCGAGCGTTAATTCATTGGCCGCGCGACCTATTTAACTCCGAATCTTGCATTACATATTGGGTCGTTCGGAAAGTTGTTTCGTTTCTCAACAAAAAATTTCGTTTTGTAAGCTCGAAACGAAAAAGTCAAAAAAACTGAAACTCTGAAAAAGCCGTGGCAAACTTGTCCGCCGGAATGGTCGCTGGAGGAGCCAAGCAGCGGAGCGGCGCAATTTGAAACACGACACCTTAGTGATATAATATTAATTAATATTGTAAAATAATTATAATATATAAAGTATATATACAGGGTGTTCCAAAAATGTCTCAAAATCCGGAAATGGCGGGTTCCTCGGATCATTTGAAGCAGCTTCTTCCTTTACAAAAATTTTCTCCGAGGCACCGTTAACGAGTTATTAACGAAAAACGGTGACCAATAAGAATCGAGTACGGCTGACGCGAGGGCCAACCAGCGCTCGAAGCCCAGTTCCGCTCATTGGTTCGGTCGCCTCGCGCCAGCTGAGCTTGCCTCTCATTGGTCACTGTTTTTCGTTAATAACTCGTTAACGATGCCTCGGAGAAAATTTTTGTAAAAGAAAAAGTTGCTTCAAATGACCGGAGGAACCCGCCACTTTCGGATTGCGAGACATTTATGGGACATCCTGTATATAATCATAATATATAAAATAATTACATATCCTAATCAAACTCGTGATATTCATGTTTGGCGTGGAATTGTAGCAACGAGTCAAACTCGTGATATTCGTGTTTGGCATGAAATTGTAGCAACGAGTCAAACTCGTGATATTCAATTTTGGCACGAAATTTTCATCATGAGTCAGACTCGTGAAAGTAGTGCAAGGAGTTAAAAAAGCACGTGATTCAGCAAACGTCGAGACTTCTACGAGACAAGATTTTAAAAACACAAGAAAAATGTCGGAAGGTTTTTTCTTATTTGAAACGTTAAAAAATTGTCTTTCATTTTCTCGTGAAAGAACGAAACAACTTTCCGGACGATCCAATAATGCTTTTCGAAAGAAAGCTGCTCAGGAATGCGCGAAGCAAGCAGTGAAACAGCGCGGTTAGGACAACGTCCGCGAGACGTTGGTTCCAACGAGCACGCGCTGCTCGATCGTTGTCGGTTCGCCGAACAGATCGCCTACTTTCCGCTTATTAATTCGTCGAACTCGAATGCCTGGTCGTCGTGTTCACCATACCATTACGAAGAGTATCAAAGGCAACCGGGTCAAATGCCGCGTGAAAGATCACCGGTCCGTCGAAAAGTTTTATCGAGCACCGCAAACAAGCCGGCAAACAGATCCAAGCAGAACGAAGTTAGCTCGATCATCTTGCACGTATAATATCACGACCAGCTGACCAAAAAAAAAGACGCCAAAGACAGCGGCCGCGTCTCGAGGTCCGAACGCGGGGTCGGAGAGCTTTCTAATAACTCGTTCCAGCTAGCTTCATCATCGTCGCGTCAAGAACCACTACAAAAGAACGTGCCGGAGGCCGGTCGAAACTCCCGACGCACCTTCCACAGAGAAACCAGGCATACTTCCTGCCGACCGGTTCGCCCTTGAACCCTCAATCACTCGCGCCACCCGAATAACTCGGCGGCAAGGGGAGCAAGGTCGCCGAAGGATCCGCGAAACCGGGGATCCACCGGCGCCGGATGCGCGCACCATCCGAGCCGCTGGGACGCACCGAGTCTCGCCGCACCTCGAACAAAAGGAGCACCCATCGGCGGCTGGTCGCGCATGGTCACTGGCCGATCGCGGGGAAGTTCGCGCGATCGGTCGAGACACGGATCGGACGCGAACGGATCGGTCGAAAGAGCTGCGCCCGGTCCGGCCCGGCCCGCGGCCGCCGGCGGCCGGCGAAGAAACGGATGGAGAAACGAGATCAACGTGGAACTCACTCTGAGGAGGCGGCTGCAGTGCCGGTGGCGGCCGCGACATCGTAACCCGAATGCAGGGAGCCGCACTCGGCGGCGCGGTTGCATTCCGGCTCCGCGAGGCCGGCTCGCTCGTGCTCGAAGGCCGCGGCTGCGGCGTCGTGGGCGCCGTTCAGGAACTCGACGCACTTCTCCGTGGGACTAGCCCGGGCGGTGGCCAAGGCTGGGCAGCCGATCACGTCCTCCGGCACGTGCTCGTCCTCGCGGCTCCTGAGGAACGCGTCCAGATAGTGCTCGTCGGCGGTGGGCAGCTCGTAGACGGCCCCTGGGGCCCAGTTGCCGTTGTCGTTGTTCTCCTTGCGGCCGGCGGTGTCCTCCTCGGCGGGCTTGCCGGGGTCCGGCTTTCTCGCGTAGAGCTTCCGCAGATAGGCCTCCTGGTGGCTCCTGGTGGCCCAACAGCCGCCCTGCCACCACCGTTTCGACCCCAGCAACGAGGTCTTCCGTCTCCTCGCTAGGCTCGACATCCTCCTCTCGGCGGTACGGCCGTGTCATCCGCGGGGCCCGGTCCGCGGGCCCGTCCGGCGTTCCGTCCCCTGTCTCTCCTCCTGTGTCTCCTGGGGCCGCGCGCGCGACTTTCACGGCGCATCAGAGCCGGTCCACCCGGCGCGGAGCGTCTCTTTCGCCCGGCGATATATCGGCGCTGTTTATCCGCCGCGGCGATCGCTGGCCGATATCCTCTTCGCCTTCGCGTCTCCTCTCGCGGTTTAATCCCGGCGCATTAAGCCAGCCCGGCGGCGGGGCCCGATCCGGCGATCGCCGGCCGATCGTCGGCGCGTCCTTCGGCTCGATCGCCGCGACGCGATAAGATCGCGGTCCACCCGGCCCACGGGGCCCGTCTCGCCGATCCGCCGATCGTCCCGGGCCTCGTCACACTCCGGCGGAGGTACGCGGCTAGCCAGCTGCTCGTGGAGGAAGTCGTCATCGCGGCCGCGATCGATAAGGAAGAGATCTGGATGTCGCGGGGCCCATCGGCTCGTCCGTTAGGCGGCGGCGGCGGCGGCGACGACGGGGGACCGGGCTCGCGCGAGCTGGGCCCGATTGACGATCGCGCGCCGCATCGCCGCCGATCGGCACGCGCTCGCGAAACACACGCTCTCGAGAGGACAGGGCCGAGCGCCGAGGACGAGAACAAGGGGTGTGGAGGAGAGGTGGTCGGCGGGGGAGAGGGGGCGAGTTCGAGGGAGAAAGAGAAATAGAGAGAGAGGGAGAGAGAGAGACGGCGGCGGCGGTGGAACAGGCGAGAACCAGAGGAGAAAGAGGATCGAGGGGGTAGCCGATGGGGGAACGGAGACACAACAGGGACCCGGGAGAGAGAAAGCCCGGCGAGGGACCAAGAAAAGGAGAGGCCAATCTGTACGTATAACCGGTAGTACAGTCGGAGATTAACGTTTTAATACGCGGCGCGTTCGCCGGAGCACAAAGGGGGACCCAAGCCGATAACGTCCGACACGGCGATCGTTACTCCCGATCGATACTCCCACTCGCGAGAACACCGAACGAGACGAGCCCCGGCGGTGCTGGCTCCGGCTGTCTATCCAGGAGAGATCCTGCGACGCGAATCGCGATGCCACCGAACCGGAATATACGCCTCTCCTCTCCGGAGGAGCGTGTGTGCGCGTCCGCTCCGAGCGAATCCGCTTCGCGTCGCGTCGGCCCGCTGACACGCGACGTCCGCTCCGTCGCACGGCTCCGGGAAGCGCGGCGGACCGGCCGCGATCGAGGGCCCTCGTCTCGCACTGGTCCACTCCGCTGTCAATGTTGACGAGCAGCCCGGTACACCGCTTCGAGGCTGCTCGTGATCGCGAAGATCGCCGGGACCGGAACCGAACGAGAGCTCTCGTCGGCCGCTCGTCGCCTTCGCCAGGTGGATCGGCGGCGATCCGCGAGCGAGCTGTCTCTCGGTTCGCGCGGACTCGGTACGATCGGAATTCGGCGGGCCCCGCGAACGACGGCCGCGCGGTGGACACACCGGGCCACACCGGTTAATTGACGCCGGAGAAGAATGGGTCCCACGACCGGTACGGGCGCGACAAAAAGCTTCTAGAATCGGCGTCCCGGGCTTCCCACTCGGGCGTGCTGAGGCCGAGCGGACACTGAGCGTACTCCGGGGCCCAGGGCGGCCGGAGAAGAGCGGGGAAAGAGCGGGCCCGCTCTAAGGTAGGGGCCCGTTCTCTCTCGTAACGCCGCGGACGTCCGTGCGTGCAACTTCCACGCCGCCAATGCCGGCGCGCCTGTCCCCACTCCGCCGCCTCCTCTCTCTCCCCTTGCTTCCTCCTCCCTACTCTCTTTCGAACTCTCTCTCTCTCTCTCTCTCTTTCCCTCTGTCCCAGTCTCTCTTCTTTTCTCTCGCGCTCTCTCTCTCTCTCTCTCTCGCTCGCTCTCTATCCTCGGCTCTCTCGATATATTTATATTCGTTTCTAATACGTGTGGCGTGTCGGGGCCCGACGCCTCGCCTCGCCGAGAGAGCCCCCCGCTCGAAAGTACGCGCGCGCTCGCCTCGCGGAAACTTCGATGTATGCGTGCGCCAGGACGAATAGCTGCCTCCGACCCCCCTCTGGACCCCCCCTCCGCCCCTTCCTGGTCACCCCGAAGGCATTCTGACCAGGATGGACCGTCCACGGGATCCGACCGGCCGGCGCTCGAGGTACCCGATCGCCACCGGGGGACAGTTTGCACGCGAGAACGTCGCGCGTCGCTTTTGGGGATGCTTTCCGATCGGGTTCTCAAGACACCTGCGGCATCGTACAAGCTTTCTGGTTCATTCAGGCTCGTCGGGTTTCCTCGCGGAACGCCGAGGTTTTGCAGGGTTTTTGATTCAGGATTTGACTTTCGGACTTCGTTTCAACCTTTTTCTCGGGCTCTTTTTGGTCGTGGAAACTTCGATTTTGACGTTCGGTTGTGGATCTTGGTTTGCATTTCGATTTAAATTAGAAGAATGGACACTTTTCGAAACGGTGTAACTGTTTTGATAATATTTAAGATATTTGCTTAATTTTATTGATTGGCATTATTAAAAAATTAAGGGAATTTACGTTTTAATAATAAAATAGAAATTGGGATTAAAAACTGAGTTGATTAAACATTAAATATGAAAATTAATGTTAAGTTTGAAATTATCGGTTATATTTAATAAGTAGGTAATAATTTAAAATAATATAAAGTTATTATGTTTCAAATAATTAGAATTTTAATTGTAAAGTAAATAATCTTAATTTAAGATCAAATTAATTTTAATTATAATCTAATTTTTATAATGTATAAAAATTAATTTAGTATTATTAAT